AAGACAGGGTCTTGCTATATACCCCTGTCTTAACCGGAACTCTTCATCCCTCTGCCTCAGGCTCCTGAGTACTGAAATTATAGGCATGTGCCACCATGCCCAGCTAATTAGCACATTTTATAGAAACCATATTAAACCATAGATGTAGTTTAATAGACTATTACAAACATTCTTGAAGCCACTACCCAGAGGAAAAAAATAGAACTTCACCAGACATCAAAGACCCCATATCTCTAACACAGCCCTTTCTTATTGCTGTAAGAATTATTAGGAACAGTAATCGCTTCCTTGTATATTTATTGAAGTTTTATCACCCAAATGTGGACACTTAGACACTACAACTTAGCCTTGCCCAAACTGTTTGCAAATCCAGGGGATTTGGTGCCTACTTCTGGTCTCTGCAGACATTGCACAAATTGTGCACATTAATGCACACACATACATACAGGCAAAACACTCATACACATAAAATAAAAATAAATTTTAAGAGTACTAGAGATGTAGTTCAGTTGTAGGATACTTGGCTAGCATGTGCAAAGCTCTGGGTTCAATCCTCAGAAACATATACACACACACAATCAGACTTAGAGGTTTTACACATCTGTAGCTCCTATCCTACACATGCATACAAATCTAGTTCTTAAGGACCTAAGTCAGTTGGGGATGTAACTCAGTTGGTAGAATGCTTCCCCTAACATGCATGAAACCCTAGCTAGGTATTATCTCAACACCACATAAAATTACGTGTAGTAGTCCAAACCTGTAATCCCTGATCTCAGCACTCACATAAGAGGGCAGGAAAATCACAGTAGTTTAGTTATCCTTGGCTACACAGTGAGTTCCTGGTCAGTCTAGGCTACCTAGGCTATGTAAGATCAGCCTCAAAAAAAAAAAAAAAAAAAAGAGGACTTAAGACATGAGAGTATTGGGCTAGCTCATACTTATTCAATTCAATCGCCTTCTAATAAACACATTTTTGTTTGTTTATTTTTGAGATAGGGTCTCCCTAGTCCCAGCTGGCCAGGAACTCGCTATATAAACCAGATTGGCCTCGATTTCACGGATTCCCCTGCCTCTGCCTCCCAAGGGATGGGATTAATGGCTTGCATCACCACCCCTGGCTAATGAACACATTTCAAGTCTCTGGTAAAGTGGAAAACCTATAGAGAATGCTCATAAGGAAACAGTGTATAAACATGTGTTTGGCAAGGTATCACTTCAAAAGACCAAACTTTCTCAAGTTCCCCGGAGACACGCCCATCCGGCCCAGCTCAATACTTTCACCAGGTTCCCTGGGCGACCAGGAGAGAAGCTAAGGGGTCAGCCACAGAGGAAAACTTGCATTCCTTCTCTCCTCTCCTCTACAGACGGGCTTGCCCTCTAGTGGAGAAGCTCAAGAACAGAAAACAGGCCAGAGCAGGCTTGACATCTACTTAGTGATTACCAGACATGGTCTTAAAACGGGTGCTGAAAGTAGAAAACTTCTTCTTGGCTAGAATGACTTAGTGTAGCTGAGGGGAGAAGCTGCTCAAGTTCAAAGCACTTCACAAGCTCACCAAGCACTGAAAGGCGAAGAATGTGTCAAAACGACTTAACTGTGTCTTTTGTTCTTGTCTGTTTACTTTTTGAGACAGTCTCTAGTAGCTCAGGCCGTCCTCAAACTTACTGAATAGCCTTGAACTCCTGATTCTCCTGCTTCCACCTCCATAGATTAGAACTATGCACCACCCTACCCAGCATAATTTATTTTTTGATGATCTCTTTCCTCTTCTCTTTAGCGCTAACAGCCTTAGCTTAAAGCTAGTCACCAAACAAGGCACAGAGATGGGGAGGGCCCGTGGGACCCCGGGAAGATGGCTGTTGAGAAAGTGCTTGCCATTCAAGCATGAGGTACTGAGCTGAGTTCTGATCCCCAGCACTCACCTAAAAAGATAGGCATTGCCCATATCACATGTCTGTAATCCCAGTGCTGAGGGAGCAGAAACAGAAGGATCCCTAGGGCTTGCTAGGGTGGTGAAGGGAGTATGGGGAAACAGGGAGTGGGTATGATCAAGATACATTGTACACGTGTGGAATTGTCAAAGAAAAAAAGATATTCTAAAGTAAGTTGGAAAAGTGACTGAAGTGTCCATCTCTGGCCTCCACAGGAACTCATGCACATTATGCACATACACCTGAAAATGCAGGAACACACAAATACACACAAACCAGAAAGTTATTAATGAAATGAATGTCACAAAAATTTTTTTTCTGGATTTCAAGTGCTATCATTGGAGTAACCATAACCTTTTGTTGATGTTACACCTTTGTTACTGGATACAGGACCCTGTCCATTTTATTAATTATATAATGAGATTGGCTTTATTTTTGTATTTATTTGTGTAGGGATAATGAGTGGGTATTTATACACACACGTGGAGTTGATTCTCTCTCTCCACCATATGGATCTCAGGGACTGAACTCAGGTAGTGAGCTTTCGCAGCAAGCACCTTTACCTGCTGAGTCATCTCACTGGTCCTAACTTGGATATTTTTATACTTTTTAAAAATTTTTTATTATTTTTACGCGTATGTGTATATTGACTGCATGTAGGTAAGTGCACCGTGTTGGGCAATGCCCGCGGAGGTCAGAAGAAGCTGTCAGAGCCCCAGGGACTGGAGTTACAGACAGTTGTTAGTTGCCATGTGGGTGCTGGGATTCGAACCTGGGTCTTCTGCAAGAACAACCAGTGTTCTTAACCGCTGAGCCATCTCTCCAGCCCCTATTTTTATGCTTTTTAATACAGAATTGAAGCAGCACTCGTTTTGCATTCACGAGAGGACTATCACTTCTTTGTTTTTGGTGCTGGTGACTAAACCCAGGGTATATATAGAGAGTGCCAGGCAAGCACCCTCCCACTGAGACACATTCTCAGCCCACTACAACATCATTTTAATGGCTGCCTGGCATTTTCATGTCTATACTATACTGACCATGACTTACTTAACCTCTCTCTTATTGTGTGATATTTGGATCAGTTTTGTTTCCGGTGTTCTGCTATCATCAGTAACTGTCATGAAGAACGTAAATCTTTATGCAGGTCCAAGCTTGATTATTGGAAGTAGTACCACTGGGTCAAAGTTCAGGGCTCTGAGGGAGACTCGAACTGGTAGAGATAAAGTTTCCCTCAGATAAAAAATTCTGAAAAGGTACCAAAGTAGAAATAAGACACTTATTCTAATTTGGCAGAATTCTTTTTAATGAGGTTAGTAAAATGACAATCAGGTTAGGAAGTCTGCATTTGAAACAACTAAAAACAAAAACTGAAGACACTAGTAAGTTCTTAAAGATAAATACTGTTTGAGGCACCTGAGCAGATCAACTAATGGGAAAGGAATGAAGTGGAAAAAAATTGTAATGACTGTGAAAATAACCTGAGGTAAAAAATTATTAACTTGGAAGAACTGAATTTAAGACAGCATAAGGAAGGAAAAATTATTTAAATTTACTCCCGCTATTTCAGACCAGATAACCCAGCTACCATAGAATTCTGAAATTTCAATAAATATTAAAAGTTGTACCGCCCATGTAACTAATGAAGACGCCGAAGAACAAAATGTAGCGCCCTTGTTTAAAAGGTACAAATTTCAAGGCAGTGACAGCTGAACATTAACTCCAGCTTGAGGGGTCTGGAGAGATGGCTCAACAAGTAAGGGCATTTGCTGCTCTTCCAGAAGATTCGGACCCGGTTCCCACCTAACAGCATGTCTAACTCCAGTTCCAGGGGATCGGGGGCACTGGTATTGCATGCATGTGCTGAACTTACATACATGAAGGCAAAACACTCATACGCATAAAATAAAAATAAATAAATAAATAAAATTAATAAATCCAGCCCGAGACCCTCCTAAACACAAAGGGTCTGGTCGCTGGTCTACGGTGCTGGTCCAGGAAAAAAAGGTCTCAGATATGGGACCAGGGGCATCCCCCAAAGGGCCAGCCACACCCTTGTCCTTGCCCAGTGAGTTGCAGCAGGAGGGCCATGGAGCTAAGGCAGAGGGAAGCTCACAACACTGGCAGGAAAATTCCCACCCGTCCCGGGGCCGATACCCCGCAGCCAGGGTACCGATCCCCAGACGTGGCAGGTCTCGGCCTTGGACTCAGCGGTTACTCAAAAACCACAGGAGGCGGCGCGCTAGCAGCTCTCTGGGTGGACTGGAAACCGGGCGAAGCCGGAGGACAGAGATCCGCAAACCCCACCTGACCAAGGGAGCGTCCCCCGACTGACGCAACCGGAAAAGGGCGTAGGCCAACCGGGAGTTTAGGGAGAGTCTGCAAAGACCGTAAGGGAAGCCAGGGATCGTCTAACAAGGCCACAGCGGTAAGGGGTTGTACCAAGGGCCGTTCCACTAGGAGGGTGCGGACCCACCTGTGACGTAAGCGCGCCGTACACCTTTCCGGCAGTCCGACGGTGCTTTAGCAGGTGGGAAAAGAACGGTTGAACTAGGGGCGGAGGTGAGAGGGGCATAAAAAGGAGGCTCTGGGCACTGTCTAAAAATTCGAGGCCAGAAGCTCTTAAGGGACCGACAACAACTCATAGTCTGTTTCTTTTGTTAAGCCCGCCTCTCGGCCATTAAGGCTAGTTCCGCTATCTCCAATCCAGGAAGCAGCCGGCTCCCACTAGTTCCAGTAGCACTTTCTCCTCCTCCAAGGTCTCCCGCCCACCTATCAATCTCCGCGCTCAGTCATCCAATCAGCGGCCGAGGGGGCGGGGCCATCAGGCGCACCGCCCGACAACTGCTTGGGCAGGTGCCTGGAAGCCGGGAGGTGCGTGACGAACGAGGCTGGTGACCGGGGAGCAGTTGGCACACACTGCCTCGGCAGTCGGTGTAGATAGGGCTTCTCGCCCCTGCGGGTCCTGCGACTGCGCCTAGCTGGTGGGTGGGCTCGTGTGGGGTGGTAACAGCCGGCCGTAGGGGGAGGTGCGTGTGGCCCTCCCCCAGGGGTGTACACACCTCCCGGCGCACCACGTGGGCGGGAAGCGAAGCAGGAGGGCGTGTTAGGCCGAATTCTAACCCCATTGGCTGTCGCTGCTGCCGTCTCTCGCAGGAGAGTGCTCTGATTGGTCATCCGGGGGGGCGTCGCGGTCTCTGAGTTGTGATGTTTGTGATTGGTTAACTGAGATAAGCTAGTGCGGCGCTTCCGCAAAGGGTTTTGATTGGTCGGCCCGAGAGATTATTTGGGATTCCTCCTCCCCCGCCCGGGGACTTTGATAGGTGAGTTTGGGGTAGGAAACTGGGAAATTCCTCTTCTCGGACTCTCCTCGGTGAGCTAGGGTTGCACCCTAGGCTTCACTCTGCTTTCTTTGCTTCACAGGGTTGAGGAAGGTTTATGTTCCCGAAGCCTTGGGAACTGTCATAAGCTAAAGAGAAGGAAATCTTAGTCCCCAGAAAGAGCAGCGCCCCCACCCCACCCCCCATAAAGATAAGCTACTGCCGGGTTTCTGGAGACCCTGGTATTTCTAGAGCAGGATTTGCTTTCACCAAATCCAAGTTGGTGATCAAAAGGAGCCCCTACACAGGACCTAAGGATGCTGTGACCAGAAGATGGGATCACGGAACAGTAGCAGCGCAGGATCCGGGTCTGGAGACCCCTCTGAGGGCTTGTCCCGAAGAGGAGCTGGCCTGCGTCGGAGTGAGGAAGAGGAAGAGGAGGATGAAGATGTGGATCTGGCCCAGGTACTGGCCTATCTCCTCCGCAGGTAACTTACCACTTTGGTGTGACCTTACCAGGTATCACCACAGCCCATTGCTCTCAACTCCAGGCAGGAAATGTGCAGAGGATAGGGATATTAGCCCAAGACAACTGTTGTGTCTCAGCAAAATCACCTTTCCCTGCTGGACACCCATGGCACTCAGCTCCAGTCCCAGAATGCTTTTTACCTAGGGCAGGTCACCAACACCCTCTGATGTGTGATTGAGGGAAGCCTCTTTCACTGTAACAACATACGTGTTGTCTCTCTTTTCCAAGTAAGTAAAAGGGGAAAAAAGGGACCCAGGTGGAAAAGGAGAGGTGTGAGAGGTAAAGAGTTGGGAAGGGGCACGTTAGGGGGACGTTAAATCATTTGCCATGTGATATGAGGCTGTGTGGATTTACTTGAAAAACAAGTTTAAATCGACCTAACTCTAGCCCTATTCTTAAGGAAAGAATGTCTTGAAGGGAGTTGACCACCAGGAACTGCCAAAAAGGGTGAACCTGGCATTGTTTGCTTGCTTATGGTGCTTTAGAAAAAAGCTGAGCTTGAGATCCCTTCAGAATATTGTGTTCTGTGCTGTATTCCTCTCCAGCAGAAGCTGTGAGGTGGGCGACAATTGTCCACGACAGGATCTGGAATCCTCTGGGAGACAAGCCTCCAGGCACACCTATGAGGGATTATTAGTCTCTGGGTGGGCCTCTTAAGGGGTTATGTTGATTAGATTAATTGAGACAAGGAGGCCCACAGTAACAGTGGGTGGCACCATTCCTTGGGTTCGGGCCTGGACTGTATAAAAGAGAAAGCTAATGAAACACAATCGCTCATCCCTCTCTGCTTCCTGCAGTGTGGCCAACTTGTTCAGCTCCTGCCCTCCATGATGGACTCTACCCTTGAACTATGAGCCAAAATAAACCCTTTCTCCCTCAAGTTCACATTTGTCAGGTTATTTTATTACAACAACAGGAAAAGAAACTTAAGAATCTTAGATGGAAATGCTCTCCTAATTTTTAGCTCTTGGGCTGGGGACATAGCTTAATATCACTAAGTGTTTACCTGGGTTAAATCCCCAGCCATGGGGAGAAAAAGATTTTTTAGCTCCCTGGGAAGTCAGTTTAGTAAATCATTCTTCATGACCTATTTAACAGCCAAGGTCTAGTCAGCCTCAAACTTCAAAATGTGAACCAAACGTTCTAATAGCCATTAGAACATTAGAACTAGATAGCCATTGACTCTGAGCTTGGTTAGATGGGGGAGGGGGGAATCCCCTCCTTTATAATGGAGGTCTCTCCACAGAGGCCAAGTGAGGTTGGTGCAGGGAGGAGGTGCAGCAAATTTACAACTCATCCAGGCCCTCTCGGACTCAGAAGAAGAGCATGACAGTGCTTGGGATGGTCGTCTTGGAGATCGATACAACCCACCTGGTAAGAGAAAAACCAGCCCATTCTTAATGTTGAAAGACATTTACTAGATGCCCCCACCCTTTAAAAAACCAATCTGATGAAGTCTAATAAGTTAAATTAAAAAGATAATTCAAGCGATGAGCGAGTCCTTGGAGCCAACCACACTGAGTGGGCTTAGGCTCAATTTTGCTAGCTGTCTTCTGGGCTGGAAGATCTAAAACTGAACTTTCTGGTACTCACAGTGGATGCAACCCCTGACACCCAGGAGCTGGAACGCAATGAAATCAAGACACAGGTGGAATTGGCCACAGGGCGGCTAGGACTTAGGAGGACTGCCCAGGAGCACAGCTTTCCTAGAATGTTACACCAGGTAGGCTTTTCCTCCTCTGGTCAGCTTGGCCATCGACCTGCTGAAGCCAGAAGTTCTGCCACCCCAGAAAAAAACAAAGTAAACTCCCCAAGTGTGGGGGCTGGAATATGTTAGCCCACCTGCTTCCCAGTGCTGTGGAACCTCTGTTTCTGTAGCAAAAGTAATATCCTTGGAGGAGGGGGCATGGTGTGATTTCAGTGGCCCTCTGATTCTGCTAGCAATATCCCCAATCCCTTCCATTTAGAGAGAACGGGGCCTCTGCCACCAGGGAAGCTTCTCCCTTGGAGAACAGTCTCGAGTGATGTCTCAGTGAGTATGGGTTTTGGTGGAGAGACTCTAAGGGCCAGCTAGAGTGTATCTCCTAAATTTTGAAGGGGTAGATATTAGAGAACTCTCAGAGACACTAAGGCTAGATTAAGAGGGTTGAAGTTTTGAGAGTAAACAAAATGGAAAGGTATAGAGGGTGATGGACTGGATGAAGGAGATTACATACAGAGCCTAAGGGGGATGTACTCCCTCCCGTTCTGGTAATTGGGGTCTTCTCCCCAAGCCCCCCCATACCCTCTCTTTCCCTCTGCTTGTCTAGCTTCTTGCCCAATGATCTCAGCTTCACTGACACCTACTCTCAGAAGGCTTTCTGTGGCATCTACAGCAAAGATGGTCAAATCTTCATGTCTGCTTGCCAAGGTACTAGACCTGGGTCATATATACTGCCTCAACCTAGAGCAAGGAACATTCTCAACTGGACTAGAAACCCCCAAACCTAGGGAGCTCAAAACCCAGCTTAGAGATGCTTAACCTAGAGCATGGCTCCCACGATAAAGGGGAGACGCCACAGATAGACCAAGGAAAAGAAGCTACAAGGAGGGTATTCCACAGTTTTCCCCGATACCAACTTTACAGATCAGACAGTCCGACTCTATGACTGCCGCTACGGCCGTTTCCATAAATTCAAGAGCATCAAGGCTCGGGATGTAGGCTGGAGTGTCCTGGATGTGGCCTTCACTCCTGATGGGAACCACTTCCTCTACTCCAGTTGGTCTGATTACAGTGAGTATGTACCAGACTTCTGTGTCCTCTCCATCTTGGAGAGACCTTTCCTGAAGTTTCCATGTACTCTTCTTGAGAAAAGGCACCATACTTTGTCTGGGAACGGTCACTCACAAGGTGCTCTAACATTCTTGCCATTAGCTCTGTCTCTTCTTAGTTTTACTTCCATTCTCTTTCCCCCAAACCCTGAAAGAATCTTGTTTCTCTTCTCTTAGTTCATATCTGCAACATCTATGGGGAAGGAGATACACACACTGCCCTGGATCTAAGGTATTGGCTTTTTCTTGTCATACTTATCAGAAGGAAGGCTTTCTGGAAGCAACCGTGTAAACAGGAGCTCCCACCTAGAGGGAAAAGTACAATGGTTGCAGATTCCTCTGTTGGATTCCTGGGAAAGCTTTGCCCATCCTGTCAGCCATGTTGGAGATTAGTTCTGGGTTCTCACAGAGGTGATCTGCATACTAGCCTGTGTTGACAGGCCTTCTGTGTCCTCTCCAGAATCCTTGTCAGATGCTTTGTAGACTGACAAAAAGTGAAAGGGCATCCTCACTGGGCGTGGTGGCACACACGCCTTTAATCCCAGCACTTGGGAGGCAGAGGCAGGTGGCCTTTCTCTGTGAGTTCAAAGCCAGCCCTGCCTACATAGCAAATTCCAGGACTACAGGGAGACCCTGTCTCAAAAAAATAAAAGACATCCACTTAGCATAGCTTCTCCTTTGCTCTTTAGGCCAGACGAGCGTCGCTTTGCTGTCTTCTCCATAGCTGTCTCCTCAGATGGACGAGAAGTACTAGGAGGGTAAGTATTGTCAAATTCATGAGTAAGAGTTCTGCCAGAGATGAGTGAGTATCTGTCGTGCTGTTGTTTTGCTGTTACAGAGATTGCACTAGCAACTATGAACAACCAGCCTTCTCCAGAGTCGAGGTTTATGAGCCACTTCAGCCGTTGCTCACCATTGCCCTGATACGAGGAGGCCTCAAGCCTCCTTGAAAACCAAGCTGCTATTTCTGCCTTCTGTGAAAGAACACATGTGCTCACCCCATAGTAGAGCTTCCCAGCAGGGTTCTCCAGAGTGCACAAACCAGTAGTCCTCTCAGTCCTGGCTCTAGGACCTTCCTTATCTTTTTTCTTTCAGAGCCAATGACGGCTGCTTATATGTCTTTGACCGAGAACAAAACCGGCGTACCCTTCAGGTACTGTTCTGAGACCAGAACCCTTGCCTTCTGCTCTTTGACCCGTTTTAAGACTAGAAAGAAGGGGCTGGAGAGATGGCTTAGTAGCTAAGAGCACTAACTGCTCTTGCAGAGGACCTGAGTTCAATTCCCAGCACCCACATGGCAGCTAACAACTGTCTGTAACTCCAGTTCCAGGGGATTCAACACCCTCTTCTGACCTTCTCAGGCACTGCACAACACGAGAGCATCTACCTACATGCAAGCAATACATCCATACACATTAAATAAAAATAAATAAAAAATCTTTTTAAAAAAAGACTAGACACTTGGGAGGCAGAGGCAGGCGGATCTCTGTGAGTTCAAGGCCAGCCTGATCTACATAGTGAGTTCCAGGACAGCTGGGGATACAGAGAGACCCTGCTTCAAAAAGACAAAAAAAAAGACTAGAAAGAAATCCTAAGAACTTTGGCTTCCTTCTCTAGATTGAGTCTCACGAGGATGACGTGAATGCAGTGGCCTTTGCCGACATAAGCTCCCAAATCCTGTTCTCTGGGGGAGATGATGCTATCTGCAAAGTGTGGGATCGACGCACCATGAGAGAGGATGACCCCAAGCCTGTGGGTGCACTGGCTGGACACCAGGATGGCATTACCTTTATTGACAGCAAGGTGAGCAAGGGAGCAAGATTGCACAGCTGCCTGCTTAGGTTCCGGTTGCCCAGGAGGGCATCAAAGTAGGCTGCTATGGAAACTTAACAGTTTCCGCCTTAGGGTATGCAGGAGCTGGAATTTAGGGGAGAGGCTGAAGCCAGGCAACATGAATTCCTTCTGTACTCACCGCTCCACAAGGATCAGGGCAGGACTTTATAAGAAGTCAGTGACAATCCAAGTTAGAACAAGGGACATAGCAAGTACCCCAGGCGAAGAAAGGAAGCCCTGGGGGTGGGGAAATCTGAAGCAGAATGTCAGAGTGAACTCATCTGGATGAAGACAGACCCAAAAAAGTTCAGCACATGCGTTCTTACCTCTCAACTACAACAGGGAAACTAGACCTACCGGCACTAACATTGGCAAATTCTGATGCATCCTTCCGTCTTTGGATTCATAGGGTGATGCCCGGTATCTCATCTCTAACTCCAAAGATCAGACCATCAAGCTCTGGGATATTCGGCGCTTTTCCAGCCGCGAAGGCATGGAAGCCTCACGCCAGGCTGCCACACAGCAAAACTGGGACTATCGCTGGCAGCAGGTGCCCAAAAAAGGTAAAAGTAGAAGTAAAACTGAGATCTGGAGATTGAGAGTCAGGGTGTAGTTAAAATACTTAACCATGGGTGCAGTCTGAAGTAAGCATGGTGGATCTGTCTGTTGCCTGGGCGTCCTGGAGCCCTCCCCCTCCTCTCAGTCTCCGCTAGACTACCCTATTGAACTATGGGTTGGCCGTTTGGTAACCAGGGGTTCCCAAGCTTGGGAGCTGGAGATCACAAAGAACCACACGACACAAAAGTATTTTAGTATCATGATAATCAGAAGGGCTGTATTGGTGACTGTTGTTTGACTGTCATGTGGGGAAAGTCAACAGTCTAGGCCTAGATAGGTAAGCATTGATCTTAACCAAAGACTAGTGATATATGACAATCTAGTAGAAACTCCCTGATTGACGTAAGGCTCATCTCCAACTGCATGCATCTTTACCCAGCCTGGAAGAAGCTGAAGCTCCCAGGGGACAGCTCCTTGATGACTTACCGGGGCCATGGTGTGCTGCATACTCTCATCCGCTGCCGATTCTCCCCGACCCACAGCACTGGCCAACGGTTCATCTACAGTGGCTGCTCTACTGGCAAAGTAGTTGGTAAGGATTTTGTGAGACAGAGGCCTCAGGAGCGGTATTCTACCTACAACCGCAGTGACTTCCTGAAAAGGTCAATAACAACTAAAAATGAAATTTAGCTTGGCGCAAGAAAGGCTTAAACAACAAACTAGAAAGCATTCTGTGTATGAGCATTTTTAAATAAGAAAGAGAACATAGAATTCTAGTCACTAAATATAAATTACCAAAACATAGTTAGTTCTTTTTTTTTGACCCAGTCAAAAAGGGATTGCAGATGAGAGGTAGGAGGGACCCGAACTGAAAGGAATGACAAAAAGACAGCATCAGGTGCTGGACAAGGTGGCTCATGCCTGTCACTCCATTATTCGGGAGCCCAAGGAAGTAGAGTTACTGTGAGCTACATAGTGAATTCCCGGCCAGCTTGGGCTGTAAAACAAGACCCTACTGCTAAGAAGAAAAGCATTGAGCAGTAAAGGACATGCAGTCACTGGAGCAGGAGGAGTGCATGAAAAAGCAGGGCTAGGGAGATGGCCGGCTATCCGTGAAGCACTTACTGTACAAGCATGAGGACCTGAGTTCAATCCCCAGTACCCACATATGAGCCAAGCATGATGGTGCATCTCTAACCCTGTGAGGTGGAACAGAGGCAGGAGGATCCCTAGAGTCACTGACCAACTAGTCTAGTGAAATCAGCAAGCTCCAGATTCAGTGAGAGACTTTGGTGAGGGCCAGCCATGCCTTTTAAGGCCAGCACTAAGGAGGCAGTGTCAGGCTGATCTCTGTGAGGTTGAGGCCAGCCTGGTCTACATAGTGAGTTCCAGGTCAGCTGGGGTTACAGGGAGACCCTGTCTCCAAAAACCCAAATTAATTAATTAATTAGTTAAGGAGTGATTGAGGAAGATCTGCAGCATTGACCTGTGCCCTCCACATATAGTAGTACACTTACATATATCTACTTGCTCACAAATACAAACACAAATTTTAAAAAGCAGAGCTATAGCCGGGCATGGTGGCTCACGCCTTTAATCCCAGCACTCAGGAGGCAGAGGCAGGCGGATCTCTGTGAGTTCAAGGCCAGCCTGGTCTACATAGTGAGTTCCAGGACAGCGGGGCTACAGGGAGACCCTGTCTCAGAAAGACCAAAAACAACAACAGAGCTGTAGTGCTGGAGAGCATGTCGCAGGTAGGGAGGTGTGCCCTGTCACACAGGAACAATAGGTACACACCTGTCTATCACAGTCTGCAGTTCACTTTTGGTGCCTTCCATATCTCACTGAAAACTTTAAAGCCAATGCATTTTCTGGGTTGGGTTGAGTTGGGTTTGAGATAAGAGTCTATGTAACTCAGGCTGGCTTTGAACTAACTGTGTAGCCAAGACTGGCCTTGAACTCCTGATCCTTTTGCTTTCACCTCCCAAATGTTGAGATTACAGGTGTGTACCACCATGCCTGGCTTTCCAAAGCATTTTCGTAACTATAGGACTTTGAACTCTAGCAAAGGGTTAGGGATACTTACACTCCACCCTATACCCTCAGCCCAAAAGAAGCAGACATAAAACTATCCCCTGAGGTGGGCTTTGCTCCAATGGGAAAGTGGGATGCTACCTGAGAGGTAGGTCAGTGGTGCCACTTGAGGATCTGAGGGATGGTTTGAAGATCCGATGGCAGCCCCTGTCTACTCTGGTCTTTCCTGGACAGTATACGACCTCCTAAGTGGCCACATTGTGAAGAAGCTGACCAACCACAAGGCCTGTGTGCGTGACGTCAGTTGGCACCCCTTTGAAGAGAAGATTGTCAGCAGTTCGGTAAGGTGGCAAGGGGCGGGGGGTCCAGCATATGTCGAGGTCTTGAGCCAGGGAGGGGCATTACTTCCTGACTGTGTGCCGCCTTCTGCCCTGCAGTGGGATGGGAACCTGCGTCTATGGCAGTACCACCAAGCTGAGTATTTCCAAGATGATATGCCAGAGTCTGAGAAATGCTCCAGTGCTCCCTCTCCGGTGTCCTGCCCATCTATGGCCTTTTCCTCGCTTCAGTAGATCTGACCTCCAGTTCCGTACAGGATGAACTCTCAACATATTCTCTGCCTCCTCCTCCCTTTTCCCTTCTGGGGAATATGTGGAGAAATGACTGGCATTGGGTAGTGAGAAAAAGAAGCCCAGGGTTGGAACCCAAGCTGAGCCCTGGAAAATCCACCCCACTGAGCTGAGTGATCTCCTCATGCATTCACACCCAGTCTGCTTGGGTCCCTATCTGTAGCCAGAGGTTGGCAGGGCTGCCATTATCAGGGGTGCAGCTCCTGCCAACAAGACAACTGCCTGACTGTTTTTAATCATGTGCTGATGTTCGGGATTGATCATAGCATAGATACCTGAGGCCAGGTCTAAACAGGCCTATCAGCCATGCCTTTGCCCAGGTCTTCGGACTGAAGCTTAGACTGGCCAACAGAGGGCCAGGTGTCCTGATCTTTCTTCCTGAGGTCTTTGGGGGAGGACAGGTAGGTAGCAGGGTTTTCTCAGTACCCTGGAGTGGGAACTCTGTCTTCTTTCATTTCTGGGTCTTGGGTTGAATAAGCTGTGGTGTGAGAGGTAGGAGTCTCCAGAAGCTGTATGTGGCCTGACATGGGCCAGGCCCTACTTGCCATGAGATTCCATCATGCTGGTGGCCAGCAGCCTCAACGAAGGAGGTTAAGCTAGGACTCCATTCATCTTCTCACTAGCTTTGCCTCTCCCAATAAATTGTCTCTGGGAACCTGGCTTAAAATCTGTGTCACTCTCTTTTCCCTATCTGAGGTCTTTCATCTTCACACTTCAAGGAAACAGGTTTTTTTTGGGGGGGGGGGGGGGGGCGGGGGGAATGCTGGAGAGATGGCTCAGTGGTTAAAGGGTGCTTACTGCTCTTGCATAAGACCCACATTCAGTTCCAAGCACCCACACCAGGCAGCTAACAACACTCACACCAGGCGACTAACTGCCTTTTGCTCCAGTCCCATGGGCTCCAATGCTATTTGGCCTCCATAGGCACCACTATGCACTTGGTGCACAAGAACTCACACAGGCGCACATACCCACACATAAATAATAAATCTCTAAAGTGGGTGTGGGAACACACAACCCTAGTACTTGGAGGTGAGGGCAGAAGGATCAAGGGTTCAAGGTCATCCTCAGCTATACAGTGAGTTCAGGCCAGAGTGAGCAACATGAGACCCTGTCACAGAAAAAGCTTCTGACAGAAGGTACAGTATAAGAGAAAACACCCCCTTGGTGCCCCTAGATACAAGCAAATAGAAAAACATTTAGTGAGGGTTTAGCAGGCTTTCCCTCACCCGCCTCGAAACCTTCCCTGTAGACCTGGAGCTAGACAATAAGCACGTTTTGTCAGAGCCCAGGAATGCCTGTGCCAGCCGTGCTGTGGAGCTGCTCCAGTATGTACAGGGGGTGGTACATGGATGCAGAGCCACAGAGAACCTGGCCAGCACCGGAGCAAACCAAACCCAAGGGCGATGCCATTAGACAGCAGTATCTAGCTCGTCCCCTCACGTCATGCTCTTCAAAGCTATTTTCAAGCCAGGGTATACACTTGCGGGGTGCTCATGAACCTTCACAGCCACAGAAGTTGAAGCAATCTTATTTTGAAGGGGGCCTCACTATGTTCCCTGGGCTGGTCTTGAACACCTGTGCTCAAGCAATCTTGCCTCATCTTCCTGAGTAGCCAGCATGGCAGATACATACCACCACACACCACCATGCTTGGCCACAAATAGGTAATATTTAAAAAAAAAAAAATAACTGTCTAACTGGAGAGATGGCTCAGAAGTTGTGTAGTTGTTCTTGCAGAGGACCTTGTTCAGTTCCCAGCATTCACGGGGCAGCTCAAAGCTGTCTAAAACTCCAGGAGATTTGGCACCCTCTTTGGACCTTCATGGGCTCCTGCACATGCATGGTATACATGCAATGGTATACATGCATACACTCAGATACGCATAGAAAAAAAATTTTTTTTTGTTTTTTTGTGTTGTTGCTGTTGTCGTTTTGTCTTTTTGAGACAGGGTCTCCCTGTAACCCCAGCTGGCCTGGAACTCACTATGGAGACCAGGCTGGCCTCAATTCACAAAGATCTGCCTGCCTCTGCCTCCCAAGTGCTGGGATTAAAGGCATGCACCACCACACCTGACTGGATAAAATTTTTAAGAATAACTGTCCAGGCCAGGCGTGGTGGCACACACCTTTAATCTGAGCACTCGGGAGGCAGAGACAGGCAGATCTCTGTGAGTTTGAGGCCAGCCTGGACTCCATAGTGAATCCAGGCCAGCTAGGGCTACAGGGAGACCCTGTCTCAAAAAGACCAAAAATAAAATAACTGTCCAGGGATGGCGAAATGGCTCAGTGGGTAAAAATACTTGCCACCAAGTGACAACCTGAGGTTGATTCCTAGAACCCACAAGGTAGAAGGAGAGAACCTACTCCCGCAAGGTGTCCTCCACATGCATACTGTGGTATGCCCCTGCCCCCCAACACACAAAATAAATGTTTAAAAATTTTTGAACTGTCCAGAGCTGAGGATACAGCTCAGTTGGTAGAATGCTTGCCTTACATGCAGGAAGTCCCCAGCACTGAATAAAACTGGATGTGGTGTTTGTCTATAATCTCAGCATTTAGGAGATGGAGGCAGAAGGAACAGAAGTTCAAGGTCTTAGCTACAGAGCAGTTTAAAGCGAGTCTGGGATATATGAGATACACACACACACACACATACACACATGCATGCACACACACAAAATTCTTCACATCTCACCTGCTCTTTCCATCCCTGTTCTAGTTCCCTTTCTGTTGCTGTGATAAAAACACTGATCAAAAGCAATTTAGGGGAGGAAAGGATTTAGGAGGCTTATACTTTCAGGTCACAATCCATCACTGCAGGAAGTCAGAGCAGAAACTCAAGCAGAAACTTAAAGGCAGAAACCATGGTGAACTGCTTGCTGCCTTGTTCATTGTCTCCATTTATTGTTTTGTTTTTTTGTTTTGAGACATGGTCTCACTATCTAGCCTGGCTGGCTGGGAACTCAGTATGTAGACCAGGCTGGCCTTGAACTCACAGAGCTCCACCTGCCTCTGCCTCCCAAATGCTGGGATTAAAGGTATTCACCACCACCGTGGTGCACGCCTTTAATCCCAGCACTTGGGAGGCAGAGGCAAGTGGATCTCCGAGTTCAAGGCCAGCCTGTTCTACATAGTGAGTTCCAGGACAGCTGTGGCTACAGGGAGACCCTGTCTCAAAAAAAAAGACCAAAGAAGAAAAAAAAAAGGTATTCGCCACCACAACTGACTTTACACTGGCTTATTTTTTTTAAAGATTTATTTTTATTTTCTATGTGTATGAGTGTTTTTCCTGTGTGCATGTAAGTGCAACACGTGCATGCAGTACCTGTAGAGGCCAGAAGAGGACACTGGAACTTCTGGAACTGGAGTTAACAGCTGTGAGCCACCATGTACGTGCTGGGAATGGAACCTCAGTCCTCTACTGGTAGAGATCTGTGAGATTGACACCAGCCCAGTTTACACAGAGTCCCAGGCCAGCTGGGGCTACAGGGAGACCTGTCTCAAAAAAAAAACAAAAAAAAAAAAAAAAAAAAAAAAAAAAAAAAACAGCAAGTGTTCTTTACTACTGAGCCATCTCTCTAGCCTCTCATTTTTTTCTTTTTTTTAATATATTTTTTTGCCTTATGTATAAATGTATTGCCTGAATGTGTGTAAATGCACTCATGTTGTACATTGCCCTCAGAGACCAGAAGAAGGCGTTGGATTCCCTGGAACTGGAATTACAAACAGTTGTTAGTCACCATGCAGGTGCTAGAAATTGAACTAGGGTCCTCTGCAAGAGCAGTCATGCTCTTAACCACTGAGCCATCTCTCCACCCCCACCCCCTCATTTTTCTTAATGTGTGTGTAAGTATATGTATACCACGTGTGCAGGTGCCCGTGGAGGCCAGAAGAGGGCACCAGATACCCTGGAATTCAAGTTACAAGCACACGTAAGCCACCTGAGGTGAGTGCTTGGAACCAAACTCAGGTCCTCCAAAAAAACTGCAAGTGCTCTTAATCACTGAGCCATCTCTCTAGCCCTTATTGGATCATCTTTAGCTAGCTTGCTTATGCAACTCAGAACCACCTACCCAGGAAATGATGCCACCCACAGTGGACTGGTCCCTCCTATATCAATTACCAATCAAGACACACATGCCCCCATACCCACAGGCCAATCAGATCTAGGAAATTCTTCAGTCAAGGATTCCCCTCAGATGTCAGTGACAAAGCTAATTAGGACAGTCCCTGCTGCCATTTCACCCCTAAGATAATGCTCATCTCTCCTAGAACTTGTGTTCTATGGTGCCACATGTAGAGACAAGATTGTTAGTACTTTCAGAGCCTCATCTGATCAAGGCCCCACAGAACACCCATTCTCAGACATTTCCATAAAGTCCTGTCAACAAATTACAAATGGTTGTACTAATCATTTACGTGCTACTATCAGTTATAATAGAGATTCAGTCCAGAAGAAAAAAAAATAACTCCTAGGGTTTTATGGTCACTAGAAGTTTTGTTTGCTTTTTATTTTTGAAACAAATTCTCACTTTTATGTAGCCCAAGCTGGCCTGGAACTCACTATGCTAATCAGACTGGCATTGACCTTGAGATGACCCTCCGGCCTCAGATTCCTGAGTGCTGGGATTACGGGAATGAGCCACCATACCTAGCTGTATATATATATTTTTTAATTATGTGGGTTTCTTTGCAAAGATGTAGTAAATCACCACTAAAAGACCATCAAGTTAAAGGCATATTAGGCTGAGTGTGGTAGGGCACACTATTAATGCCAGCACTTGGGAGACTAAGGTAGGAGAATTGTCACAAGTTCCAGGCCAGCCAGAGTAAGACCATCTCAAAAAAGAAAAAAGAAAAGGACTGGGGATGTAAGTCAGTTGGTAAAGAGCATAGCTCTGGGTTCCATCTCCAGTACTGCATCAAACTGGTCATGGGGCGGCCAGATGGTGCAGCAGATAAAAGCACTTGTGCAACCCTGACAGCCTGAGTTTGATCCCCAGAACCCAGTGAAAAGAGAGAACCAACTTCCAAAAGCTGTCCTCTCACCTCCACATGCACATCTGCACTCATAACAGTAATAAATAAAAATTAAAAAGAAACTAGGTGTGGTGGCACAAATTTTTAATCCCAGCACCCCAGAGGCAGAAGCAGGAGGATCTCTGTGATCACGACTGAGTCCCAGGCCAGCTGGGCCTGGCTGTTGGGAAAACCTGTCTCAAAAAATACAGTAAATGCTGGGTGTGGTGGCACACACCTTTAATCCCAGCACTTGGGAGGCAGAGGCAGGCGGATCTCTGTGAGTTCCAGGCCACCCTGGTCTACATTGTGAGTTCCAGGACAGCTGGGGCTACAGGGAGACCCTCTCAAAAAAATTAATTAATTAATTAATTAAATAAATAAAATAAAATAGCTGGGGGGAGGGGTGGTGGCAGCAATGCATGCCTTTAATCCCAGCACTTGGGAGGCAGACACAGGCAGATCTCTATGCCTTCGAGGCCAGCCTGGTCTACATAGTGAGTTCCAGGCCAGTTGGAACTACAGGGAGATCCTGTCTCAAAAAGACAAAAATAAATAAAAAATAATAAATAAATAAATAAGTAAGTAAAATGAAATTTTAAAAAATTCAGTGGGCATAGTGCCACATGCCTATAGTCCCAGCACTCAGGCACTTAAGAGGTGGATACACGAGGATCAGAAGTTCAAGATTATTCTTGGCTACATGGCAAGTTTGAGGCCAGTCTGGGAAATATGAGACGCTGTCTCAAAAAAAAAAAAAAAATGGAATAGAAAAGGAAATAAGGGTTGAGGGACACTGGGGATATGCTCAGTGGTGATGTACTTGCCCACCATGGTTAAGACCCTGTTTGGTTTTCCTAAAGTCACATCTGGGCCCAGAACATGGGCTTGTTCTTGCTTGTTCCTTTCACTACTTCGTGGGCTTCCACTACTCTGAAGTCCCACCACCAGCTTTGAGGAATGAGAAAAGATGACAGGCGGTCTGCTAGCAAGTAAAAGAGCCTGCCTGGATAGGCCACCCTCCACTCTTCTGCTTTAGACCCAGTGATCCGGCTGAGAGGCCAAAGTTTGTGTGAACCATGAGACTCAGGGTACCTGATTAGAGGGCAGACTTAAGGTTTTTTGTTTGTTTTGTTTTTTGTCTTTTTGAGACAGGGTCTTCCTGTAGCCCCAGGTGTCCTGGAACTCACTATGTAGACCAGGCTGGCCTTGAACTCACAGAGATCTGCCTGCCTCTGCTTCCTGAGTGCTGGGATTAAAGGTGTGCGCCACCATGCCCAGCAGACTTAAGGTTTTGATGGATGCCAGACTGGGAACTTTTTTTCCTAGAATCCTTTCCACCTGTCACCTAAACATAGACTTGCTCTCTAGAGCTCTGAGCACCCAGCCTGAGCCACCACCATCTCATTTTGAATGCCTTTCTTAGGCACTCGAATTTTACCTGTTGATTATAATCAAACACAAACAGCGCCCCAACTGTGTGACACAACCACCAATTCACACAGTCATTCTGGGACCAACTAGCCCTTTAGAGCCCCTCCATCTAGATAGGAGCTGGAGCTTAGCTAAGCTGCTGAAGTCATCCTGCACTGAGGTGGAGAGCAGCTAATATGTCTACCCTTGACCTAAGGTGGACAGTGCTGATGATGATAAGATAGACGCTGCTGGTTTGTTTTTAATGACTTCTAAGATTTGGTTGGTTTTATGACTCAGATTTCCTTGTGGGACAAAAACATGCTAGAGTTGAGGGGTGAGCAGAGGGGCTTCAGTTGGCCAAAATAAGACAGGCAGGCTCAAGCAGGCTGGGGACAAGGACAGCCCTGACCGGCAGGCCTGGCCCTGAGACATGAAATAGAATGTGGATGGAGCTGAGGACACTGCTAACAGCAAAGGACACAGGCTGTGTCAGGACACACTTCCACAAACCCAGGACCAGGACCGAGCTGATGTGTCAGCCCTCACCCTGGCCCCTGGCTGCCCCCCGCCCCTCTCCCCCGCCTGCCAGCTGCCCTGTGTCTGTAACACCTGTCACTGCCTATCCTTGTCTGAGAGGGGGGTATTAGCCCCTCCTCAGTCGACCAGCAGAGCAGGCAGTTAAGTGGGGAGGGGAGGGAACATGGAGCGGGGGCCTGTGGTGGGGGCAGGGACAGGGGCCGGGACCCGAGTCCGGGCACTGCTGGGATGCCTGGTCAAAGTACTGCTCTGGGTGGCCTCTGCCTTGCTGTACTTTGGGAGTGAACAGGCCGCCCGCCTCCTAGGCAGCCCCTGCTTACGGCGCCTCTACCATGCCTGGTTGGCAGCTGTGGTCATCTTCGGGCCCCTTCTGCAGTTTCATGTCAACTCTCGGACTATCTTCGCTAACCACGGCAACTTCTTCAACATGTGAGTCCACCCAAGACCATGGGAGCTGGCTGCCTACACTCGGATCCCAGCTTCTTTCTTCAGGCTTCTGTTCTCCTGCCAGTCTGAGCACTAAAAATAGCCTAGGGGGTGGAGAAGGTCAAGGGGAAGGGGGAGGGGAAGAGAGCCTGGGGGTGCGGGGGAAGCAAGGAGAAAGACTGAAGAGGAAATGTGGACCCCAGATTGCGGAGTGGTCCTCTCAGGAGATGGCAAAGTTGAGGTGGCAGGGGGTGTAAAGGACATCGGGAAAGAACTAGAAATGTGTGGGACACGAGACAGCAGTGCTGGGCACACAGACCGGGGTGGGAAGATGATGGGACGTTGGGACTCGCGGGGGGCGGGGGGGCGTCTTACTAGCCTTCTCTCTTCCTGCCCACAGAAAGTTTGTGAATTCAGCGTGGGGCTGGACGTGCACCTTCCTGGGGGGGTTTGTGTTGCTGGTTGTGTTCCTGGCTACACGACGTGTGGCAGTGACCGCCAGGCACCTGAGCCGACTGGTGGTGGGGGCAGCTGTATGGCGGGGAGCTGGCCGGGCTTTCCTGCTCATTGAGGACCTGACTGGTTCCTGCTTTGAGCCTCTGCCCCAGGGCCTGCTGCTCCACGAGCTGCCTGACCGCAGGAGCTGCCTGGCCGCCGGCCACCAGTGGCGTGGCTACACTGTCTCCTCCCACACCTTCCTGCTCACCTTCTGCTGCCTACTCATGGCTGAGGAAGCAGCGGTGTTTGCCAAGTACTTGGCCCACGGGCTACCAGCTGGCGCCCCGCTGCGGCTTGTCTTCCTACTCAACGTGTTGCTGCTGGGCCTCTGGAACTTCTTGCTGCTCTGCACGGTCATCTATTTCCATCAGTACACTCACAAGGTGGTGGGTGCTGCAGTGGGCACCTTTGCCTGGTACCTTACTTATGGCAGCTGGTATCATCAGCCCTGGTCTCCTGGAAGCCCAGGTCATGGGCTCTTCCCTCGAGTTCGCTCCAGCCGCAAGCACAACTGAAGGAAATAAAACCACCGTCAGGCCTGGCTCTGGCTCCTCTTATTCTTTGGGGGCCTGGAAAGGGTGGGAAATGTAAAAATAGGGTCTGACAGACATGGAATTCCTTCCTCAACCATCTCTTGCTGTCATGGATCTTGAATGTCCTTTTTAGAGGGTCTGTGTATGCTTATTTATTTAGCAACTGTTTATTGAGCCAAGCATAATTCTATGCTGTGTGAAACAAGGTTTCTGCTGTGTGGAGGTATATGAGCTACTGGAGAAAGCAAGTGAGAAACAGCTCGCAAATACCGGAATGGTGTTTACAGACACCGTGCTACCGTGCATGTGCCTTTATATAAATCAACACATTTAGAAGCCCAAGAGATGGCTCAATAAGTAAAGTGCTTGCTATGCAAGTATGAGGACCTGAGGTTGGATCCCCAGCACTCAGGTAAAAAGAAAGCCACACAGCATGCACCTGTTATCCCAGTGCTGTGGAGCTAGAAATGGGAAGTTTCCTGGGGCTTGCGAGCCAGCCAGTCTAGCCTAACCTGAGCTCCAGGTTTGGTAAGAGACCTCTTTTCAACAAATAAGGTGGAAAAGAGATTGAGGAAGACACTGAACATTCACTTCTGGCTTTCACAGACTCATGAGCATGTTCAGACACACACACACACACACACACACACACTACACTCATTAACACATTTAGTCCTCATGAAAGCAACATTATGAGGTGAGTTTCGTAGTGTTCCTATTGTACAGTTGGGAAAACTGAGGCACGGAGGTTAAAATAATTTGTTCACAGTTAACAGAGGAGCTATGACTACAAACCTAGGCAATGAAGGTGAATTGTCTTGTGCCCTAAACCAGGAATTGGGAAACGACTGCCCCTCTGTGGCCAGTTTTTGTAAGGCCTGAAAACTAAAACTAGCTTTCACAATTAAAAAATATATATATATATTTATTATTTTTATTTTATGTGTATGAGTGTATTGCCTGCATGTATGTGAGTGCACCCGTGTCGTGCAATGCCTCGGAGGTCAGAAGAGGGCTTTGGATTCCCCTGGAACTAGAGTTAAGGATGGTTTGCAGCCGCCATGTGGGTGCTGGGAATTGAACCCAGGTCCTTTGCAAGAGCAGTTAGCGCTGAGCCATCTCTCCAGCCCCTATTTATTATTTTAATGTGTATGAGTGTATTGCTTGCACATATGTAAGTGCACCCATGTTGTACAATGCTCATGGAAGTCAGAGGAGGGCATTGGATCCCCTGGAACTGGTGTTATGGATGGTTGTTAGCCACCATATGGGTGCTGGGAATCAAACCCAGGTCCTCTGCAAGAGTAGCCTCTTAACTGCTGAGCCATTTCACAATTGTTTTTAAAATTTTGAAAAAATTCAAAGAATATTTCTTGACATGTGGAAATTATATAAAACTCAAAATCTAGTATGCAAAAGTAAAGTCTTATTGAAACCTAGCCACATTAATTCATTTTCATGGGTCGCTTTTCCATCACAGTGGCAGAGCTGAGTAAGTGCTACAAAAACTGTAAAGTCCTCCCCCTGAAAATGAAATAGCTATCATCTGACCCCTACAGAATAACTTTACTCTGCCTTGGTTTAAATCACATTATCCTGTCTCGAAGCTAAACAAAAAACTGGCTAATAACAGACAAATGTTATGAAGATACTGAAACAGGCTGATTTGTAATAGACCTGGTGGGAAGGTACTTTATGGAGAGTGATGAGAAGACAGTCTGAAATTTGACATGTAAGCAGGGAACTGATTGAGGCCATCCAGGGGAAGAGTGTTTCAGGTTCTCCAAGGGCAAAGACCTCGAGGCGGGAAAGAACACTACCTACAAGTGTTTGCATGTGTAATGAATAAGGGGGAAAGGAAGACAGCCACTTTGAAGGGACGGGTGTCAAGCAGACTGTGAAAAAAAGCTCTTCCGATTTTATACTGGTGACCTGAATCCCCTGCTCTGGGAGAGCAGGTTATAGAGGAGCCAGGGAGCCAGGTGTGCCACAACGGCCCTGGGGCGAGCCTTAGGGATGGTGCCGGCATCTGAGTATTTTTGTGGGTCAGGATATGCCCATGCAGCCAGGGACCGCGCTGGCAAGGCTAAGACACGGAGCCCAGGTCCTGCTCCAGATCAGACAGGATGGAAAACCTCCTAAGGCTTATCGAGAGCAGGTTATAGAGGAGCCAGGGAGCCAGGTGTGCCACAACGGCCCTGGGGCGAGCCTTAGGGATGGTGCCGGCATCTGAGTATTTTTGTGGGTCAGGATATGCCCATGCAGCCAGGGACCGCGCTGGCAAGGCTAAGACACGGAGCCCAGGTCCTGCTCCAGATCAGACAGGATGGAAAACCTCCTAAGGCTTATCGTTGTCCTGGCCCTAGCAGAAGAG